ACACTCCAATAAATAAAATTTACTTTATTAATTCATTTTTAAACATGTTATACGTCCGCTATTACGGCCTTTGGCCTTTCAGCATTTCAAGAGACGCGATAAATTTGACCCATAAAAGTCCTCTGTCCGTCTTCAGTCTGTAACCCACCACGTGAACAGTTCATTGGATTTAAACCTGCGAACCGGCGCAAAGGTTTAAAATTTTATATACACGGCATCAATAATGCCACCTCATCAGAAATACCTTGAACGGAAAAATGTTAAAGTTACCTATCTTGGATACTTCGAGAATCAATTATGTTAATTATGTTAACAATGTAGATATAGTGTATGTGTATGACATATTTACATAATTTGATGTAAATTTGTGGACCTGTAACACCTTGCTGGTAGGGGGCTCCCCAACCCCTGTGTGATATGGGCCTACAAATTTATCCTTCTAGTGCATGCATAACACATTATTGTATTACACAAGTATATTAATACTTATTTATCATTATGCTGCTCATATCATATGTCTCAATGTGAATCCTAATTCATATGACATACATTTGACATGTGGAATTAAAATTATAACTATGTATATGTAAACTCTTCCACATATACTCTATGATATTCTAGTAATTTAATGTTTCGCGTGCATTTGTAACTATGTATACATGTATATACTATTTATCATGTATTTATGTAACCAAATGTTTTGTATCATTGTTCTATACTGTCTGTACTCTTCATTTTGGAGGCAGTAAAGAGAATACTAATGATACAAAGTTTATGTTAAGTGATATACCACTAAGCTTAGTATGTTGATATCGTCGTGTTTTTCTCACATCAATGTTTCTGATGAAAGCAACCGGCGACAAGACTGCGACAATTATTGTGTTAAAATGCCTATATCACTAAAGTCAAGGTTCAGATACTACCATATTTACAAAAACACATTTTGTTAAAAGATCTGATAATTTTTCACATGAAAACGTTTGCTGATAGCAGTCGGCGACAAGACTACACCAACCATTGTGTTCATTTACATTACGTTTAACGACAGGCTATATATATATATCTGGTTGCTTGAATATCTTCTTCGTCACCCATGCAGACCTCCAATATTTTTTTGATCTTTTAATTGTAAGTAGTGAACATCCAGCGCAATCCGAGGAGTTTGAGATCTGATATCTGCTCTTCCTTCTAAACATGTTTTGTCAATGTCTTCCTTTATAATCCAGTTGAGCTTTAACGCTTAATGTTCTGTCTCTTAGCCGAGATATACTACTTCCTACTATAAGCCTAATAAAAGTGTAACAATAGGTTCTCTTGTTATCTGTATAGTATTAACAGATGGGGATTTTACGTTGTAAACCTAAACAAACAGATTAACAACATTAAATAAACATTTTTGTAAAGATCAGTAATAGCAACACTCCAATAAATAAAATTGACTTTATTAATTCATTTTTGAACAGGTAATACGTCCGCTATTTCTAACATCAAAACTTTGCTGAAAGCAACCGGCAACAAAACTACGACAATCATTGTGTTATTAACGTCACGGTTAATATCACACTGAAATTTCATAAACCTATCATGATGTCAATTTGACATCAAGGCATTTGCTTATAACAACCGACGATAAGAGTTAACAACGATTAAGTTTATTCACCTCAAATTTTAGTAGTACATGAAACCTGGATAGAAGACGGTGGTACTTGTAACCTGGATAGAAGACAGTAGTACATGAAACCTGGATAGAAGACGGTGGTACTTGTAACCTGGATAGAAGACAGTAGTACATGAAACCTGGATAGAAGACGGTGGTACTTGTAACCTGGATAGAAGACAGTAGTACATGAAACCTGGATAGAAGACGGTGGTACTTGTAACCTGGATAGAAGACAGTAGTACATGAAACCTGGATAGAAGACGGTGGTACTTGTAACCTGGATAGAAGACAGTAGTACATGTAACATGGGTAGAAGACAGTGGTACATGTAACATGGATAGAAGACAGTAGTACATGTAACATGGGTAGAAGACAGTAGTACATGTAACCTAGATAGAAGACAGTAGTACATGTAACCTGGATAGAAGACAGTAGTACATGTAACATGGGTAGAAGACAGTAGTACATGTAACATGGGTAGAAGACAGTAGTACATGTAACATAGGTAGAAGACAGTAGTACATGTAACCTGGATAGAAGACAGTAGTACATGTAACTTAGGTAGAAGACAGTGGTACACATAACATGGGTAGAAGACAGTACTACATGTAACAATGATAGAAGACAGTAGTACACATAACATGGGTAGAAGACAGTACTACATGTAACAATGATAGAAGACAGTAGTACATGTAACATGGGTAGAAGACAGTAGTACACATAACATGGGTAGAAGACAGTACTACATGTAACAATGATAGAAGACAGTAGTACATGTAACATGGGTAGAAGACAGTAGTACATGTAACCTTGATAGAAGGCAGTAGTACATGTTACCTGGATAGAAGACAGTAATACATGTAACATAGGTAGAAGACAGTAGTACATGTAACATGGATAGAAGACAGTAGTACATGTAAACTGGATAGAAGACAGTAGTACATGTAACATGAATAGAAGACAGTAGTACATGTCAACTGGATAAACGACAGTAGTACATGTAACCTGGATAGACGACAGTAGTACATGTAACATGGGTAGAAGACAGTAGTACACATAACATGGGTAGAAGACAGTAGTACATGTAACATTGGTAGAAGACAGTAGTACATGTAACCTGGATAGAAGACAGTAGTACATGTAACCTGGATAGAAGACAGTAGTACATGTAACCTGGATAGAAGACAGTAGTACATGTAACCTGGATAGAAGACAGTAGTACATGTAAAATGGGTAGAAGACAGTAGTACATGTAACATGAGTAGAAGACAGTAGTACATGTACCATGGGTGGAAGACAGTAGTACAAGTAACATGGGTAGAAGACAGTAGTACATGTACCATGGGTGGAAGACAGTAGTACATGTAACATGGGTAAATGAGAGTAGTACATGTAACCTGGATAGAAGACAGTAGTACAGGTAACCTGGATAGACGACAGTAGTACATGTAACATGGGTAGAAGACAGTGGTACATGTAAAATGGGTAGAGGACAGTAGTACATGTAAACATGGATAGAAGACAGTGGTACATGCAACATGGGTAGAAGACAGTAGTACATGTAACCTGGATAGAAGACAGTAGTACATGTAACATGGATAGAAGACAGTAGTACATGTAAACTGGATAGACGACAGTAGTACATGTAACCTGGATAGAAGACAGTAGTACATGTAAAATGGGTAGAAGACAGTAGTACATGTAACATGTACATGTAACATGGGTAGAAGACAGTAGTACATGTACCATGGGTGGAAGACAGTAGTACATGTAACATGGGTAAATGAGAGTAGTACATGTAACCTGGATAGAAGACAGTAGTACAGGTAACCTGGATAGACGACAGTAGTACATGTAAACATGGATAGAAGACAGTGGTACATGCAACATGGGTAGAAGACAGTAGTACATGTAACCTGGATAGAAGACAATAGTACATGTAACCTGGATAGCACACAGTAGTACATGTAACATGGATAGAAGACAGTGGTACATGTAAAATGGGTAGAGGACAGTAGTACATGTAAACATGGATAGAAGACAGTGGTACATGCAACATGGGTAGAAGACAGTAGTACATGTAACCTGGATAGAAGACAGTAGTACATGTAACCTGGATAGCACACAGTAGTACATGTAACATGGATAGAAGACAGTGTTACATGTAACATGGGTAGAAGACAGAATACATTATCAGGGTGTACGGTATCCCATGGTTTGAAATGCAAGGGGGAGCAATGGAAGTACGGCAATAATGCTATATCTTGTTACTTGTCTTCATTGAAATGCATCCTTCACAAATTCAGTTATTTTCGAGAAGTTGGAAAGTTGCTACAGAGGAAAGTGTAATTTGTCGGAGGAAAGGCTTTCATATGGACAGAAAAGTAGCAACAGTGGTGATCGATATAAATGAGTCCTGCAGTGCCCTTGATACTAAGGCAAAACGTGCACTTGGTACATATCTATAATCTCCGATACCATTTTCAGACACTCTGAATGGCGTGAACTGTATAAAGTACTTCCTAAAAGATTTTACCTACTTGTTATTGGAAGTGGGTGTGTTACTGTGAAATTCAAAAGTGTTCTTTATTACATTTCAAACTTTGTAAATGATTTATTTGATACATTTCTGATATGCAGTGCACTTTTCTTAAAAATAATTAAAATAATTTATCTAAACCGATAAACTAAAACCATTACATGACCCGAAATTAAAAAGTATGACACCGTTATTTCGCATGTCTTTTTCAAAGCCTGTTTGGGAAATATTGATGAAAATTTGACAACTGCTGAAAACAATAAAGAGGAATTCGGTCTCTCTGGTGGAATCTTCTCGACCTTTTAAGTCACGGTGTCCACAACCTATGATGAAAAATTTACGATCATGTACCACCATTAGCTTTTTATCCAGGTGAAACCTCTCGATGTAAGATATGACCTTCATGCCATACAGTGTTTACAGAAACACAGAAAAACTATGACTCTGGACAGAAACAATGAAATGTATCATTCATGACGGAAATCTAGTTCTCTTGCTTGACATAATTACAATTTATGAGGTTGTCTACTGGGCCAAAAAACAAGACCGTGACCTGTCTTAGCAGCGCAGTCTAACGGAGAAAAGCTATGCTAAGGCAGATAATCCATTCTATCCCAATGTAAGGCGTTTAAATGTCGTATTAATTCAATATCCAAGGGCTTGTTCCCAACATCACATACATGTAAGCAAAACATGGCGATAAATCAGTGTAATCGAATTGGAGTTGCTGGCCCGCAATCTTTCTAATTGAATGTATATATTCTGATTACAAAAGTCTGATTTACATGACAGATTGGTGTATTATATATTTTTCTCAATCATATTCATTTTGATACCGATTTTTTTCTCGGTCATTGAGAATTTTTCCATAGTCTTGTACAACAAACTATCGTCTATACAATCTTCGCATGTGATCATGACAACAATATTTTTAGTTTGTTGACCCATTGACATTTTCATGTGTTTTTCCACGTGCTCTCTCACCATTGACCCTTCTCCAATGTCACCATGAAAATCTATACAAAGAGCATATCCTTCCTCACAATTGAATGTCATACCAACGGACAAAAGTGGATTTCCGGACACATTTTCAGGATCTACTGAGGTGGCCAGCACGTTGTGGTTCTTGGAATCGAAATGTTCAATGTTAGATGGAAGCAATCTGTAGGCAACCCAATTGCACACAATCCGATCGCATGGAAACAGAATTGAACACAATTTTGTTGAGTGAAATATCCTGGCCATAGCGTCACGATTCAGAGGGTGATTTTCTAGAACTCCTTTTATGCAGGGTAGAATTAATGAAGCAGTTCCTAGAAACACCCGCACGTTCTGCAATAATTAAAAAAAAAAAAAAAACAAAAACAAAAACAAAAAAACGAAAGGAATATGTCTCCAATTTACTAGATCAGAACAACGTCATATATGTCTCCCTTATTGCATTAAAAGGATGACAACAAAAACATTCAAACTGTTCACTATGACATCGTAGCGCATGATTTCCACAAGAACTGAAGTAGATTATTTTGAATAGCTTCAAAGGAATATTTCTTTAATCTCATGTGTTTCCGGTGAAGGAGGAGTTCATTCTCAGTTTCTCAACATTCTGAAATTTACCTGTATTACCTGGCCATCATGTCAAATTTTACACCTGAGTGAGTTTCAGTTATAGTCTGTTCTTACTCTCCGTGATAGAAAATACAAAAATGACATTGATTAATAAAAATATATTTTTTTTAACATTTTTATCCTCATAAATGTTTTATGTTTGCAGTAAACACTTAGAATATATCCAATTTTATTAAATCTACATATATTAAGACACCTCCATCACAAGGATGTAAATTGTGTTTTCAGTAAGAAATTTATTAACAAATGTTGTAATCACTATATTATGAATCATTTTTGTTTTCAGAACAAAATGAAGGATTTAGAAAAGAAACCAAACAAAATATATTCTGTTAATCGTCATATTACTTACATGGCTTGTTTATAGAATTGTGGAATAGTAATCGATACTGTTTGCATTAATTGCTTTCAATGATATTTTATCACGTGATATTTCTGAAGTAATGGTAAAAGTGTACCTGTTATCCTGATATACCAGTGCTGTTATAATTTCATAAAAATGAAAGCAAGGATGCAATGAAAGAAGACATCAGAGCTGGGATGGGTGTTACCCTTACTTGTCGGCTTGGATGGGCGTTACCCTTACTTGTTGGCTTGGATGGGTGTTACCCTTACTTATTAACCTGGATGGGTATTACCCTTACTTGTCTGCCTGGATGGGTTTTACCCTTACTTGTCGGCTTGGATGGGTGTAACCCTTACTTGTCGGCTTGGATGGGTGTTACCCTTACTTGTCGGCCTGGATGGGTGTAACCCTTACTTGTCGGCTTGGATGGGTGTTACTCTTACTTGTTGGCTTGGATGGGTATTACCCTTTCTTGTTGACTTGGATGGGTGTTACTCTTACTTGTTGGCTTGGATGGGTGTTACCCTTACTTGTTGACTTGGATGGGTGTTACCCTTACTTGTCGGCTTGGATGGGTGTTACCCTTACTTGTCGGCTTGGATGGGTGTTACCCTTACTTGTCGGCTTGGATGGCTGTTACCCTTACTTATTAACCTGGATGGGCGTTACTCTTACTTGTTGGCTAGGATGGGTTGGAATAACAAAAAAAAAAAAAAAAAAAAAGAAACAATGAAAAATAAAAAAATATCAAAGGTATTACGTTGAATAAAAAAAAAATTATCATTTTGATTCCAGGATGGGGAAATGCACAGGTTAACAGTAACTTCACAGAAAATGGATACTCTCCCATTCTCGCAGACTTCGAAGTCAGAGCCAGACGTAGTGACAAAGTTTATCAGAGATGCGTACTTGATAACAAAACTCAACAACATTCCTATCAACTTTGGACATAATCATAACCGTTCATGCGAACTAGCGGGGATGAGGTTTCTTAATGAAGTGAATCAACGTTGTCGTGAAGAAGTTTGTGCTATTCAAGCTATCTTTGTCGTGGCAGTAGGCAAACTCTATGATAGAGACTGTGACCGACACAGATTTGGGGGGAAACATTTATGTTAGCTATCAGAATAGTATCTTGGGGACAGTTATCTGAAATATCAGGGGGAAACATTAATGATGGCTATCAGAATAGTATCTAGGGGACAATCATCTGAAATATCAGGGGGAAACATTTATGATGGCTATCAGAATAGTATCTAGGGGACAATTATCTGCAATATTAGTCAATGCAAAAGACCAAAGACCAGATAGTTCCCCTCTGATAGATAACTACTCAAAAAATGAAACTGGTCAGGATCCATCATCCTGGAAGTGTTGAATCCTTTCAGTCTATGAAGTGTAACTACAGGCAGTTTATCGATAACAAGTGTAACAGTCTTGGCTAAACATTTATTCATAAGAATCTTTCTTTGGTTCAAGATACCAAACAGAAAGAAAAAAATAGTAGTCACTCTGTATCACAATTTTCATTCAGAGTGAAGATAAATCAATCCAACAGACTGCGGGTGGGTTCTTCCAAACGCTATTAGGTAGTTTGTCTACCGGTTTCGCCCTATGTTTTTGGGCTTCATCAGGACAACATTACCATGATATTCTTACCCTAAAGTATACTAAAAGCGGGCAGATTTACAATTTAGATTGTTACGTAAGAATTTAACCAACGATAACTCTTTAAAGTCCATAGAATATGATCGATAGTGATCGATACAATTAGTATGTCCCTCACGGTTATTATCATATATAAATTATATGTCACATGTAGCAGAAAATATCAGGCTGTGCAGAATGCATACAAAACAAGAGGCCAATGGGTTCCTGTATTGCTCACCTGGATCTTAAAGCCCAGCAACTTTATATATGCCTATAGGTTGGGTATTTCAAATATTTCCAAATTAAAGTTCGTTCACACAACTTCGTTGATGGGACAAGACCAATGGGTACATTCTTACATCATTGCTCTCTTTACATTTTTGATGTCAAGTAAGAGTTTATATGGTTATCAGGTTGGCATCTCAATTACATCAAAAATTTGCGGAAATAATGTCCCTTGAGGTTAATCACACCAAAGGGTCAATTACGACATCATCAATGTGTTTATCTCTTGATGCCCAACATATGCTTATGGAGTGGGGATCTCGAAAGCTTCAAAGATGTAACAGGAACACGAAGTTCCTTTTGGATGGAGCAAGAGCCAAGGGCAATTTCTAACATCAAGATTGTGTTGATTTCTCTTCACCCAAAGATGCTTCTGACCAAATTTATTAAGTATGTCAATAGATATTGTAAACGGGAACTTTTATAAACTCTTTGGAATTGTTTTTATATATCAGCATATGTTGATTCATTAGCGAGCGTGTCACAAGTAAATGTGATTCATCATAGTAGTGTTCGAACGGGAGATATTGAAGTCAACGATTAACAAAGTGGAGCCACAGAATGTTTGTTTATTATCCCTAGCGTTAATTGCTCCAGTGGAATATGTTATCAATTGTTATCACCTATTTGCAATATGAAATCTTCATCTTTAGACTACAACAGTGGAATGGCAGATAGATTACCCTAAGAATGGAGATGTTGACATTCTTTAGAGTTACAGTTAAGTTCGAGTGCACCAACTTTGTTGATGAAGACCAAGGCTAAATACAATTATAGAAATAATGATAGTCAATCAATTTTTAAGGACAATTGGATTTTAATAACCATATTTTACCAAAGTAATTTTCCTGGTACTACTGTAAATGCTGGATATAAATTTCCATGATTTACGAAGGTTATCGTCCTTGCACAAGTGTATATGCATGAAATTAATTACCCTAATTTACGACGGTTACATCCCTTATACTATTGTACAAAATAGATTTAATTACCCTGAGTTACAAAGGTAATCTCCCTTGTACTAGTGTAAATGCTGGATATTGATTACTATGATTTACAAAGGTTGTCTCCCTTGTACTAGTGTAAATGCTGGATATTAATTACCCTGATTTACAAAGGTAATCTCCCTTGTACTAGTGTAAATGCTGGATATTAATTACTATTATTTACAAAGGTAATCTCCCTTGTACTAGTGTAAATGCTGGATATTAATTACTCTGATTTACAAAGGTAATCTCCCTTGTACTAGTGTAAATGCTGGATATTAATTACTCTGATTTACAAAGGTAATCTCCCTTGTACTAGTGTAAATATTGGATATTGATTACTATGATTTACAAAGGTTGTCTCCCTTGTACTAGTGTAAATGCTGGATATTGATTACTATGATTTACAAAGGTAGTCTCCCTTGTACTAGTGTAAATGCTGGATATTGATTACTATGATTTACAAAGGTAATCTCCCTTGTACTAGTGTAAATGCTGGATATTGATTACTATGATTAACAAAGGTTGTCTCCCTTGTACTAGTGTAAATGCTGGATATTGATTACTATGATTTACAAAGGTTGTCTCCCTTGTACTAGTGTAAATGCTGGATATTGATTACTATGATTTACAAAGGTTGTCTCCCTTGTACTAGTGTAAATGCTGGATATTGATTACTATTATTTACAAAGGTAAACTCCCTTGTACTAGTGTAAATGCTGGATATTAATTATTCTGATTTACAAAGGTAATCTCCCTTGTACTAGTGTAAATGCTGGATATTGATTACTATGATTTACAAAGGTAATCTCCCTTGTACTAGTGTAAATGCTGGATATTGATTACTATGATTTACAAAGGTTGTCTCCCTTGTACTAGTGTAAATGCTGGATATTGATTACTATGATTTACAAAGGTTGTCTCCCTTGTACTAGTGTAAATGCTGGATATTGATTACTATTATTTACAAAGGTAATCTCCCTTGTACTAGTGTAAATGCTGGATATTGATTACTATGATTTACAAAGGTAATCTCCCTTGTACTAGTGTAAATGCTGGATATTGATTACTATGATTTACAAAGGTAATCTCCCTTGTACTAGTGTAAATGCTGGATATTGATTACTATGATTAACAAATGTTGTCTCACTTGTACTAGTGTAAATGCTGGATATTGATTACTATGATTTACAAAGGTAATCTCCCTTGTACTAGTGTAAATGCTGGATATTGATTACTATGATTAACAAAGGTAATCTCCCTTGTACTAGTGTAAATGCTGGATATTGATTACTATGATTTACAAAGGTAATCTCCCTTGTACTAGTGTAAATGCTGGATATTGATTACAAAGGTATTACTATGATTTACAAAGGTAATCTCCCTTGTACTAGTGTAAATGCTGGATATTGATTACTATGATTTACAAAGGTAAT